AATCCAATGAAACTTAGACCTTTTTTTCTTGAAATAGTTCCCTAAGACCTATATTTTGACAGAGTTTGAGGGATTTTGATTTTTATCATTTTACACACCTAAGGCGGCAGTTACAGACAGCTCTTAAGGAGTATTTACTGCAATGTTAAAAGGGCTTTGATGAATGGTTAAGACAAAATTCCCGTAAGATTTACACAATAATACTAGGGCATTCTAGTCGGCTTATGGACGTAGAGAGTCAAAATATTATAATCCTTTGCTACCATAGAATTTTTAATTGAATTTCCCTTGATAGAAGATGGTTTTATCTTTAAAAAAATAGGTATGGCTAGATACTGTGAAACTGGACAGAAAAGAAAATATCATATTTGACTATGAAGTAAAACCATGTCGACCTACAGAGTCACAGATGCCCCTAATGATAATACGAAGTGTCACACACCCTTAGTTCCTCGACTGAACTAGTACAGTATAAATATATGATGCAATTCATTTTTAGCTTTTGAAAACTGTTAAGCGACGAAGCCATCTACATTGAAAAAGATTTTGCGAACTACCTGGGGCTATTTAATTATTTCTGCTGTTTGTATTTGAAGTTTCTGGCTTGGAATCGGAATAGAAGAATTTTGCATGGCACAGACTCGCATATTCATCCACAAATACATGAGATATCAATAAGAATAATGCCAAAAATTCCACTAGTTAAATGGTGTAGGTACATGTAGTGCTCAGAGTTACTGTATGTGAAACTCACAAGTTTTTGAAGCTACTTTATTACACTTTATTCTGCGTGTGACAACCTAATGTGAGGTTTTTCCTAGGTTCTGTTTAACTGCTTCTCTTTTTCTTAAAATACCTCAAAAATAATTTTATTCCTAAATTTTGAAGTCCTTAACCTCTTCTAGCCACAACAATGACGGCTTTTGGAAGAGTAAAAAACGACAAATTGGTCATAAATATTAGTGAAATCTAGAGAGAATAAGGACGCATCCAAAACCAGCTTCCTCCTTTGACATCACAGCCCAGTCCCCTCGGTTATCATTTCATGCGGCTGGAGTTTGACTGCTCGAAAAAAACTGAAAGAAGCTTGAGTATCAAAAAATTCTTTCAACATGTTTCTTAGAATAGCTTACATTTTTATATAACAAAATAATAAAATAAAGGTCATAGGCACTTTACTGCCATTTGCATTGCCACGCAGCCACCCCAGAAAAAAATCGCGACGTCAATTTTGAAATAGACTGCCGTCAATCAAATAAGTTGACATCATTTACACGCATGTGTGATTCGAAAGGCGCCAAAACTTATCGATCGTTTACAAGTATTATGAGCCACACTCACCGGGCCTATCCGGGCCGATCAAAACGCGTGTTTGATTGACGGTAGTCTATTGCAAAGTGCACGTCGCGATTTTTGTCTGGGGTGGCCGCGTAGCAATGCAAAAAGCGGTAATGACACTGTTTTTTCTGTATACTGAAAACCGTCACTGACATAAGTAACTTTTTTCTTTGGCGTTTGTTCGCTGTTCATTGAATTGTTTTTTATCAATTAAAGTCAGTTAAACTATAATCAGTTACCTTGACAAACAATTGATAACAAGAGCAACACCACCATGGTCAATAACTTGCTGCTTGATTTCTTTATCTTTGGTCCATGTATTTAAAATGGCATGTTTAATAATTAGTACCTCTTGAAAAGCACCTATAACTATTTCATGAACAAAATAGGTAGTTAAAAAAGTATTTCTTACCAAGACAACAATTGCAAAGACCACCAATCCCAAACTCCACTTGCTTTTCACTGTCCTCCGTCAAGGCATCTGCATTATGATGAAGTTCATTCAAAATGTAGATTCATTTATGAATTCCGTTTACCTAAATATTTTAAAAGTCTGGTTCCAGTAAAATTTATTCTTAACTCTTTTTTCTGCCAAATGGATAGGCAATAAAATCTTTTYGAACCTATAGTGAGTTCTGTAAATTAATGTGGTCATGATCTGTGGAGAGGACACTCAGACCACAAAAAAAAACTTCATGTCATAATTTAATTCCTGACCTCTCTACTGTTTCAAACACTCTAAAATTAAGCAATGGTTCAAGTACACCTACTTGCAAGAAGGTTGTCATAC